GTGCCCATGTTCCGGTGGAGGATTACATTATTTAAAATTTGGACGGTTGTAGATACCGTCTTTTTTTTTTTTTTTTTTTTTTTTTTGTATGCTTGATACTCTTATATTTTATTTTTGAGCATTTGGACTAACCTGTATACGGATCAGTTAAACTTCGCGAAGAATCTCTCAGTATACATGCTTTATATTGAAATTGGGAATGACATTCAGTTCGAATTGAACATTTAAATTTACAAAGTGTGTTGAGCTTAAATTAGATTGTGACAAAAATTTCAAATTTAAATTATGTATTGGATTCATATACGGCTATGGGTAAATCCAAGAATTCCGTAGTTGTTAAAAATCCTCTTAACTCAGGTCTGGTTTCTTTTCAGAATATGTTTCGTGAAACTGTTCTTATTTGATGCAAAATTTGAGCATTTTTTATTCTCTGCAAAAAACTTATCCAGGAATATTATTATAGTCCAATAGAGGAAAAATTATAAGCAACATTTATCCTTACATTTTATAGAGCAATTAAAATGTAAATGTATTTTAAAGTTAAAAATATAAAACATCAAACATACTTTCCCATAAAAAATAATATGTGACTGTTGGCCAAGTCATGATCGTGCGATTCACCTGCAGCCAGGCTTTGTTAATAATAGTCAAGCAATGGTAAATACTAAAGTGATGTTTTCAGAAGTCCCTGAGTCTTAATTATATGAGACAGGTTAATTCAGAGCACATTTGAAAATCATTTATTGCCCACTTGAATGTTCATAACTCGGAACATGAACCATCATCCGAGGAGTTTTTTGTAAAGATAACTTGTTTGCGAACTAAATTGGTCTTTCAATTTTGTCGGCTTCTACTCTGTTGATCATTGGTAGGCCCGAAAACAAATAAGTAACATCATACTTCTAACAACGTCCTTGATCCACCGATAACTGTGCTGGTATTTAAAAGAAATTCTGAACGAAGAGGGGCGGGCGACTAGAATTCTCTTTTATAGAATTACCGAAAGGAAAAATATATTTTTATTTCTTAAAATTTATCCTTGGTTGCAAGAGTTATGTTCGACCGAGTCCTATTCTCGAAACTATCCAGAATATAACGGTCTTTGATTTTCTAGTATACAACCATGAGTATTATTATTTACTACCGATTTGCGATCGTAACGCGTGTCGTCGTCAAAGCGCAGCATTTATTTTCTCCGCTTCACTTAGACTGTAATTCAAGTTAGCCTTCATTCGTATGCTTTTCGTGAAGCGAAACTCTCTAAACAGAAGTAAAGTGGAAGGAAAAAAATTAGGCGACTCCAAATCGTCTGCTGTATCTGTCGTTTGAGGCAAATCGAACGACTGAAGATAACCTTGCAGTTTCTATTTTAAGGTGTTAGATTTTAATACAATATATTCCTCTTCTGAGGCCAAAATTGCAGCGACGGAAATAATTGATACAAGGCTTGGTCAATCATTAAAGGTGTTTTTAGCCATTCATTAAATATGTTCCTACTCTGCATTAACCTAGACAGTCTCTGTAGTTCAGGGATCAAGTTCAAATTTGTGTTCCTTAAATTAAGCCTTCGCCAGCTTTGCGCTGTGAGTTGGTACATAATGGCATGTGAAATACTAAGTCTGAAAAATTTGGTGAATTTAATTCATCGACGGTTCTTGACAATACTGTTACCATCAAGAATAATTAGTGGCCCTAGAGATTTCCAGATATTGAAGACTAAACCATTCTGTCTCCACGTTTCACTCTGGTCTCGAGACAGTCCAAATCATGTGCCTGTGAATCAGTTTTCCGCACATAAAATCACTCCAAAGTGGGAAAGATGGTAAAAATAGACTCATCTCTGAATGACATAGTTTTATATTATATGTTGCCTAAATTTTGCGCTCCTGACGGTTTTGAAACTGGAGCTTAGCATGGATCCTGGCTATCAGAAACTTTGCAGTAGCTGCTTAACTTGCTGAATTTTTTTAACCTCCGAACAAGGGGATTTTGCAGAAAAGGGCTTCAGAAGACTGTTAAATTCTGCCTTAATTTGGGGTCATATTTTTTTATTTATTTGTTTTGGATGCAATCTTTTTAAACTCTTTTTATCATTTTAATATCCTTTTAAGATAGTTTTCGCTTACCTCACCAATAATTCCGATTGGACGTAATTCTTCGCTTTCCTAGTATATAACCATGAAGTTGGATATTATGAGCACTGATACATAAAAAGGACCTGCTAAGCTTGGTAACAGATGCACCAGTCGGAAGAACACCAACAGTTTTCCTCTTTTGAACTGCAGTTTATCTTCCCCCTTTTATGAAGTTAGTACCTTAGACACAACTGAACATTTATACTTCACACTTAATGAAACTGGTTTGAATTAATTCTAAATTCCTAACATAAATTGTATACGCTAGTTTCAGATTTGGAATACTATATTTGGGGAGAGTTTCTGTTTCTTTGTCCAGTCCCTATATATGTACATGCAACTCTTGCTAATGGTGGAATTTAAAACTGATGTAAAGAAACTCAGTAGTTCTATCTCAGTAGTTCCGTATAAAGAAAACTGAGTAGTTCTTAAAGTTCTTCGTGAGATAAAAGGTAGAACTTGCTTTTAGATACTTACCTAGGACATTAGCCACTATGTAAAGTACATGTGAATGAATTGTACGTACAAGAAAACTAGAACTTATGTACAGACATCAAGATTAGCATTAAAATCAAGAAATACCTCTTTTTCTTGATAGTTTTGTTTTGTAAAATATGAGGTTTCTTAGCGAAACCTTCTTACGGTTGGAGGGTTAAAAAAGTAATTACTATTTAGTCTTTTCGCTATTGAATCTCCTACTGAAGAATTATTTTTACCTTATAAAATATGATTTTTATTATACTATCCTTAAAAATTTTCAAATGTCATTTTCATTTTACACATTTCAAATTATTTTTTAAGATTGAAGAACAAATTATTAGTTCGGAATGATTTCTTGGCCCAGTAATCATTTTCAAAAAATTTTGTTTTTGATATTTTCCTTTGAAATAGTTTCTGTGATTTATTGAACCTATCTTCTCATTTAAGGAGTCAGCGACGTTAATTCATGCTGGTTATTCAATATTCTGAAGTTTATTTTCCTTTACATGTAGAAAGTCCAACAAGCTGTTGCCAGAGGGATAATAAAAGTAATTAAAAAAACCCTTAAAATCTGATATTTCCGAATGCAACGTAACACCTGAGGGTTGGCATACACTTTTATTTTTACAACGTCAAACATACGGTGAAAAAACTAGTATCGAGGTTTCTAACAAAAGAAATATTTTTTGCTTGTATATATAATAAACAAACTAAGAAAGCATCGCAGTCGAAAACTATAGCTCGCGGGTGGGCAGTACAATTCTGTTTTTAGGCATTATGGTAATTGTTATAGTTGGTAGCATAAACTTTTATGACATGTTCGCTTAAATACTGGTAATATAACTTTAAAAATAATATTGCTGTTAATGAAAAAAAAATGCATATTTAAATTAAACTGATAGAAACATTTAAGTTGTTGTCTTTTTTTTTCAGAACATCTATCCTTCAAGCATATGCATATCAATATCTAGAAAATAAATTTTGTATTTAGTTAAAGTTTTAAAAATGTTGAGAAAATATTATTTTATTGTTTAACTAATTTTTATCATGTTGTTATTTTATTTATCATGCTGTTACTATTAATTTTTATTCTTTTTCTCATGTTGATTATTATGCTGTTTGATTGATTATTATGATATTTAATTAATTTTTATCATTACCATTTTGCAGTAATTGATTTTGCATTTATGTAAATGTGGCAATAGTTTGTATGCGCGTAAAGTTTTAAAATATTGTTAAAGTATAAAATAAAAGGGAATATGCGAATCAATAAATTAGTATACTTAAAGAGCATTTTCTGAGTATAATTTTCAAGAGATCGTTGCTAGTTCTCATTTTTTAATTACCAACAGAGTTGACTATTTTTAGACTTCTAAATTTCCGTAAGCGTTTTTAATAGAATAAGTTTCGACATTATATTTAGGCCAAGCAGCTAGATTATGTTTAACACATATAAGCGTTTGAAGAGTAAAAGAATTAAGGAAAATCTTCAAAAAATTTCCAAAATATATATTTGATACCATTGTTTCAGAACTTTTGGTATCCCAAATTTTGGGACCTTTCTTCCAGTATTATATTGCGATAAGCAGCGAATTGATCTATACTTATCCCAGGGATCATTTTTAAGAAACCTGATCTTTAAAAATCTTTAAAAGACAAAAGAACCCGGAGAATCGATCTTTCAGAAGGAGGGTGTATTCCGGTAAAGATTAAATGCGAAGAGCCCGGACCTTTTCCCCACAAGGCAAGTACGCACGGTGAAGGGGAAAAAATATATTCCTATCAATACGCATTTTCGACCGAATAGCTATCCACGAGCTTTTATTGACGCTTAACTTAATTTGTCATCAACTCTGCACGCCGCACGACGTCAGCGAAGAAGAAACAGGAGAGGAGGAGAAGAAAATACCGTATGAAAGGGTAGATGAGGGGGGGGGCTTGGAAGAAATAAAAAAGAAGTTTTTAAGCTGCGGAGTAAATATTTCTCATCAACTTTTTTTTTCCTAATGTGTTCCATCTTCTATTCATCATCGCGTTTGGTTCTGGGCCGTGATTTTTTTCCTCCCCTCATTAATGTTTGCGCCGCCGGGCGGCAAAGTTGCGTCTCTTTTGTTTTTTCCCTCCGCCCCCGCTTGGGAAAGGCGAGTGAATACTTTTTACGTCTCGCGTCAGCCAATTAAAAACGTGGCGTATCGGCTGCTTAATGAGGGTGCGGCATAAGCAGGTACAGCGGGTCGTTTGTTTCGCATTGATTCGTTACGCATTAGCATAATTTTATTCCGCGCTCGAAATGTTAGGAAAAAAAGGGAGTAATAATAAAAAAGGAGGCCCTAATGAGATTCTTCGTTACTTACTGGTTCTTCTTGTTGCTGTTCGTAGGTTAACCGTGGCCGCCGACTATGAAGGACGGGCCGGAGGTAGCGGAAGGAGTAAGAACTGCCAGCAGCGCCACCAACGGAAACGACGACAAATGCGACATGAGATCCTTGGACGGACAGAGTCGCCGTAACGGCGTGGCCGAGGTGGCCGCCGACATCAACGCCCTGCCTGTGGGGGGCACCCTGCTGACCGAGGCCGCCAACGGGGACGGAGAGAAACCGGCCAAGAACGGAGCCCCCAAAAACGGTGACAAGACGTTTGCGTGCAGCATCTGCAACCGTTGCTTCGGGTACAAGCACGTGCTCCAGAACCACGAACGCACCCACACGGGCGAAAAGCCCTTCGAATGTCCTGAGTGTCACAAGCGGTTCACGCGGGACCATCATTTAAAGACGCATTTGCGTCTACATACGGGCGAAAAGCCTTACCAGTGCTCTCACTGCGACCGCCACTTCGTGCAGGTGGCCAATCTCAGGCGGCATCTTCGAGTGCACACTGGAGAGCGGCCATATGCTTGCCAAATGTGCGAGTCTCGGTTCTCGGACAGCAATCAGTTGAAAGCCCACATGCTGATCCACAGAGGAGAGAAACCCTACCAATGCCAAGAATGCCTTGGTAGGTTCCGCCGACGACACCATCTTAACCACCATAAGTGTCCCAAAGATGAGTCAAACGTAGGAAAGCCTAGGAGAGGTAGGCGGCCCAAAGCGTACGACCAGATACCTGCCTCCGACCATGATGAAGACAACGATGAAGAGCTTCTGCCTTTGTCTGACAATGCGGAGAACATTGTGGACAACAACAACTCATCTTCGGAAGCTGAGCAGCCTTCCCCAGCTGCTGTGCTCACTGTCAACACTGTAGTACACAACAACAACAATAACCATGAGCGAATGATAGTCAGCAATGGCAGTCGCAGAAAACCCAGTCGAACCATCCGCATTCTGACACCACAGCAGCGCGAACTCTTTCTCAGAGACAAAGTAACCATGCAAACACAAGCAATTGACATGAGCTTGTCACCGTCCGCCGTGGATGTTCAACCGGTTACCGTCATCGTCCCCAACAGATTTCTTTCTTCAGTGGAAGGTGTGTTGGACCTCTCAAGCTCCAGAAGCGATTCGGAGGTAGACACTATCGAGGAAGAGGTACCACACCTCCAAGAGGACTGCGAATGCGAAGAGTGCGAATGCCATATCAAGAATAGTTTTCGCCGACGGCCCCTTTCTCAAAGGATTGCCAACCAGCGGAGCAAAATCTTAGGTATCACCAAGGCCATAGAGCCTATCAATGGAACGATGGACGATAGGACCGCCCATCACTGTGATGATTCAAATGAGCCTCACCTCCGCATAAACGGGGGTCACATGAGTGAAGATGATGACAGCATGGGCGCCATTCCTCTCACTACCAAGAAAGCACACATGGCCACGGCGTGAGAAGCCTCTAGGTGATATTTGGTAGATGTTCCTGAGCAGCGCCGATTAGTGTGGACCATAGCTCTTGCACTGCTGGCGCAAGCGAAACGTTCAAATGACATTTTATGGTAAAAATGTTGGAGGGAAAAAAATAACGCAAAAAAGGAAAGAATTGCCTGTGAGAATAATCCGGTGTTATTTACATCGGCTGCAGTGAGAACATTTCCCCCTCCCTTATTGGTTTATTGATCGCGAAATCAAAATGGAGGTCACAGAATCAAATAAAAGTCTAGCATGACTGTTTGCATAAGATAATAACGATAAACTCGTGGACGTGACTTTGTTATTGATAGTGTTAATTAACTGTTCATTAGTGAGCTCTTTTTTAAAGCAGAAAATATGCATGTTTAAATTGTAACTATGCAGAATCACAACTTAGAAGAATCTGAGTAGATTGTCTGTTTTTGGACAATATCTTCAAAATATACGAGAAATGCTTTAATGAATTGATTTACTAAATTATCGATATTTATATATAATTATTATTTTATTTAAATTCTGCTATTTAGCAAGAAAGCAAAATTTTAAAAGATTTGGTAAAGTGATAACTATCTTTCGATATGATTAAGAAATAACTTTTTAACAATCTGTAGGGATTTTAATATCTCATTTATAAACTGTGAAAAGCAAGTATAAGGACTAAACATTTTGTACGCGTGATTTTTTGCAAATGTAGGCCATTTTTTGAATTTCGATTTGCAATTATAAGAGCATGAAAGATGTATGTACGATTCTAGTGTATTTTAAAATTCGTTGTTTGTGAGTTATTTGACCGAAATGCTTTTCGGTTTGTTAGTCAGTTGCAAGTAGTTAATCTGTTTTAGATCTAGTGATAGCTATGTTGTTTCTCATATTTAGCTGTTCGCATCTTGTTTTAGAAACAGTTTTTTAACTAGTTTGTTACGTTATTGTTCCTAATTATCCGCTTGAGATTATAACTATATTATGTTTATTAGTCGAATATCAAAGTCTTTGGTTTTAATGTTCCTAAAATGTTCTCACTGCAGCTGATTGAATCAGCACATGGAACTGTATAATTGAGCTATACTAAACAGTGATTCCGAAGTGGTAAACAAGGGTTCTTATTGCTCATTGAAATGTATACATGGTACGATAATATTTATTTACCATTTTAAATTGAATTGGAACTGATTAAATATAACGAAAATGCATTTTTTATATATTAAAGAACTGTTACTATGTTTTAGAAAAGGCAACAGTTTTTAATTCGAGTATATGTTAGTGTATATGAAGTAAAAATGTTTAACTTAAAACAGTTTTTTTTTAATTTTATTTTTTATATATCGGTTTGATGAAATGGGATGTTATGATTTTTACGAATTTATTGAGTGAAATTTTCTTAAATTTTGCTTGATCTGTTGACAAATTTAATTTTTGAAATTCCAAATTTCATAATAATTTTATTAGATTTTTTAATTTATTTAAAATTAGAAAATAAATGAAGAGTATTTTTTTCTAACTTTTAGAAATAAGTCATTTTTGTAATAGCCAATCAATATTTTTTTCTTTCTAGAAAGAATTGTATCATATTGCTAATTTTATATCAGAATTTAATTAAACTTATTATGTAATTTCATCCTAGAATTTTAACAGTTTACAGAGAAATCTATATTATAAATCAGAAATTGATTATGCTTTTAACGTTAATATTAGATTAATATTTTTAACAAACATGGAATAATATTATCGAAATTCCTGACTTCATATTTCTAAAGAACCTATTTACAGTGTATGTGGACTCAGGTTTATAGTTCTTGTTAACTCCAACTTAACACAACTTTTTTTTTGTTATTATCATTTATTATTATTATTATTACTACTATTACTATTCCACCTCAGGTTCATTCGAATGAAGCAATGTACTGATGTTCTGTAAAGAAAAAGAAGGTTTTCAAATATTTAATTTTATTTTACTCTTGTGCATGATTGTGTGTCAATAGATTGCTGTCCTGTCTTCAATCTGTTGTATGTGATCTATGTGAAAAATATATCTTTCAGCCACAGTTAATTTGATAAATAATTATTATCTTAACTAGTAGGCTTGATAATTAATATTTATAAAACTGGCACATGCTGTTTATAATTCGGGTACGGAATTTTATTTGCTTGGGAGATCTCAAAAATGTTTTTATGTTCCTGATAATCTGTCACATATAATTTTGAAAGAAATGAAACCTATGTTGTGGCAATTAATTTCTTTTATTTATTTCAGTGAGGGCATAATTAATTTTCCCCTTAATTTAATTTAAAAAAAAATATTTGGAAAACAATATTTCGTTATAGTATTATTTGTATTTTATTATGTTTGGAATTTTTATTGATTTAACTGTTATGCATTAGTTTTCTGTGTTCAATATTTATTTTAATATCTGGTTCATTATATTTTTTATTATTAAAAATCTACTAAAATGTATATGTTTATATGGAATTACAATTTCTAATACTATTGAACTCAGTTTTCATTTAATAAATTAGTCTCATTTATTTCTTAAGGGGGAAAATAATTTGATTTAAAAAATTTATTAAAATTACAAAAACTTTCGTCGATAACAAATGGTATGTATCGGTGTTGTAAATTGACGGAATTTTATAGTCAAATATTTTGTTATGTAATTTATGTATGGTTTTATTTCGTATTTTATGTGACATGGGGTTCAAATGGGCATTCATTTATTATTTTCCTCGCAAATTTTTGTACAGTTCCATTTAATTCCAATAATGGATAAAATAAATGTAAAATTTGCTGTAAAGGTTGGAAGAAATGCTGTGCCAAACGTTTTTACCCACGACGTCAACCTAAAAAACGATCAAACTGCAATTCGTTTCATGAAATGGTGTGAAAGTTCCTTAATTGTTTTGTTTGTCCTAGTTGCTGAATTACAGGAGTCTACACTCTGACTGTATGCTTACATTCTTTGCAATTATTATACTCACAAAAGAGGCAGAGGGGAAAAAAAAAGAATTTTGTTATCTCTAATGACTTTAAAAGAAAAGAGGAATTTAATGTTTCCATAATATAATCACGAACAAAAAATTGTTTGAAATAATAATTTGATAAAAATGATCAATAGTTAAAGATTTTTTTTATATATTTGCATATTATTAATTAAAAATTAAAATTCAAAACTTTTTCATTTATTTACTTTTATAAATCGCTTAATCACAACATTTTCATATGATTCGATTATATTTTGTATGTAAGTTTTTGATGGCTCCTATATTAGGTTTTTGCATTAATTAAATAATATGGTTTTAAATAAGATAAAAAAATGTTGCAACGGGCATTTTTTTATAAAATTTTTAACAAACTGTTTCAAATGTAATGTGAAAAATATTAATTGAAAAGTGATGTTTGCAATGTGGAAGAGCAAATAATTGTAAATCAAATGTCATAGTAAACATAAGAAGGCAAAGAAATTTTTAAAAATGTATTTTAAAATTTACCTCTGGAATGTATGAGTTTTACTTTATTTGTATTTATTAAAAATAAAACTTAGTTATTTGTTTTAACCATGAAAATATTCATAAAATCTTAAGATAAATATTTAAACAAAGGAGAAAAATTGAAATTTTACTCATTTCTTTTAACTCGTCCTTTGTATTTACATGAATTTCAAAAGAGTCTCATAAAATTAAATTAATATTTGAATAGAAGGAAAAGAATGTAAGCTACTCTATGTAGATTTCTGTATTTCAGTCATCAGTAGTTCATTATGTGTATATGTGTAGTTATACATATTTGTAAAAAAAAAAGTGTGTAGTTTTATGCTTTCTTTTTTCAACGCTATTACAACCTGCATCTACCTTAACCTGTGAACTAATTTCGAACAGCTGGAACAGCAGCTGTCAAAAATTCTAATGATAATTATTATTATGATTATTTCTTTTATTATTTTTGTCATTTTATGTTATTATTATTATTATTGCTATTATTATTACTATTCATTATTGTTCACGCGCTGGTGCAGTACTGCAAGATTTGTTTTAGGTTACTAGTTGTAAAATAACACGATTTTTTCCGAGAAGTATTTATTAGATTTAAATAATTATTTTTTATGTTTTCTGTAGGATTTTTTTTTTTAAATTAAGGCAAGTCTGTGGAATTTTATGGTTATTTTCCAAAACATATACTTAGTTTAATTTCTTCGTTTAAATCGTTTTTAGTTTCTAATATTAAGTATTTTTTTAATAATTTTGTTTAACATTTTGTAAAAAAGGTTTTTAAATGTCGAGTTGTCTTATAGTTTGTTTGGAATTCCAAAACTGATCTGATTTTCTACATTACTTTTTCTTCCGTTTCTTCTAGTTGTTTATTACAGAAGAGTACTGCAAGTCTGTCTGTCTTAAAATATATGACTTGGTGGTGGGATTTTTAATTTGATTCCTTTTAAATGATTATTATAATTACTATTGTAATACCTGATATCCCTTGTTAAATATCTCAAACATAATCATTACCGAAATATGTTCTAAAGTTTCGCTGCGATTTTCTAAATCTTTATTTCTTTTTCTGAAATTAGTTGCTTTAAAACGAAGTTCAAAGCGATTTCATTGGTTTTAAAATGAATATTATTTTATGGAAGGATATAGTTTGTGTTAAAAGGTATTCACTGTAACCACTGGAGTGATGAAGTAAAATAGATGGTTGGTGCTGAATTTAGATGACCTCAAAATCTTGATTTACTGCCAAACTTATATTACATTTTCATTGCCAAATATTTGCCATATTTATTATTATTATTTAGATGATATTGGAAAGAATTTGATTATATACTAGTCGAGATAGTTCCTTTTCATTAATTCTGAATAACTTGCTACCTTTAATATGCTAATAATTATTAATTTTATTCAAAATACATTTTATAAAGATGGAGAAACTAAGATACATTCCACAGGCTTGTCCTAGATTTTAATGCATCAGGAGCTGATACACGTTTCAAAGTTTTTAAAATAGAAATGAATATTGATGGTGCTAAGTTTTTTCCACATTAGTATTTTTTGTTTACCATATATTTTTCAAAGGTATTAGTGAGCATGGAAGGTTGTATATTAATTTAACATTTTTAGATAATATCTGTTACACTCAAAAAGGTTCCAGTTATAAGAAATAATTTAGATATCTGACTAAATTTTCCTATGAAATTTACTTATTCTGTTAGAGAAAATTTTCATTTATTTTGCAATTTTCTTCAACAAAAAGCAAAACATTCCAAAAAAAAAAAACATTAACTTTTTAACTTTCGTAAAGGGGGTATTCAAATACCTAAAATAGTTTCTGTGCAGTTTATATGCAACTTTGAACTTTTCAGTATTGCAGCAATATTTTACGGGGGGGGAATATGCTTCTTTTCGTAATCTAACGTAAAATTAGCTGAGAATAAAACTTAAAAATTTGCCTTTTTTCTCACTATTGCCAGAAATGTAACGTAAAATAATTCTCATAATTTTCTTTTTTTAAAACTAGAAAACAAAATGCAACTTATTCTTTTATTATTTTATGAATCTAATGTTACTTAGGGTTGATGCAAATGGCATTTATTTCTTATTGTTTGTTTACTCTGCAATTAGCATGAGCTGCATTATTAAGTTCCTTTTTTTCCTCTTTTGTTAAATTTAATTATTGTAAAGTTCCTTATGACTATGATCAGTAGTTATTTTAGTTGAAACAAAATTTTGGCAATGATTCTTTTTTATTATTATGATTATTTTTAGAGTTGTATATATTGGAAAAAGTTCCTTAATACTAAAATATGTGATTTAATTTTTTATGTAAGTACTTGTTTGTTTTGTAACAATGATTTAGTATTTTCTGAATTATTATAATTATTATTTTTCAATTAATTATTATTTTCGAAAATTATGTGCCATTCTCTATGTTTGAAAAAATTAAGGTAAATGCAATTTTTTTTAAACTAAAGATACCATATAAGTATTTAGAACATCTTATTTAACTGTTAAGATTTTACTTTAAATCAGTAAACGCCTCATCAAGGATTGTTTTAAATGTGAATTATAAAAAAGTAATGGAGAGTAAGTTTTTTCTCTAAACTTTCAAATTTTAAATCCACCGTTCTGTCTTCTATTCTTCATATATTTTGCACTAAAGTTATTACAGTGACAGCTTGTTAAGTTGCTGAATGAGGAACATACATGAAAAAAACTAAGAAAAAAATTTTAATTTTAAAAACTGTTTGAAATAATACGAATAATTGAACGTGAGCAGATGTGAAAGATTTAAATTACAAAATTCATTTGGAGAGAAATATTTCTTTTAAATATACGATGTTATTTACAGTTAAATTTAAAACAGTCAAGTTTATTTTATGAATGAAAAAAATTATTT